AGAAATGTTCGTCCTTGAATTGGTAAATGGATGTAAGAGGGTGTGGATGGACAGCCGAGGAAAACCGCCCATAGACTGTGCCAACTTGCATCAAGTAGGGAACAGGTTTGACATCAGAGAATGTGTATTTCTCGAGCTTCTTGTTGCTTCCACCTGATTGAACGAGTGATTCTGACAGCAATTGTTTTGAAGGGTGTTGAAACATCAGGTTTCCTACAAAATGGCGTTGAATATCGACAGGGGATGCAGGAACGCCAGAACGGTACGACATCAGGAAGAACTTGAAGAAGATGGATGTCATGACATGGAATGCATCCACCTCATTGTTGTTGTGCTGTTTGACAAGAGTGGTCCAGGTAAATTGGTTTGGGCGAAGAAAGTCAATGAAGGTGCCAATATATTCTGAGAACAAGTCCAGAAACTCTGCAGTGTGGTCTCCACTATTCCCGGCATTTGCAAAGTCGTTGTAGGTTTTATACTCGGGCCAGCTCTCAACAATCGATTTGGAATTCTTTGGGGATGGGCGTTCCGAGGACGTTGAAGACAAAGACGAAAGCGTGCGAACAAAGAGACCAGACATTTACAAGTAGTCTACAATTTTTTTGATGGTCAAATTGTTTTGCTTTCATAAATATCATACCCATGTCGCCACATGTAGTACGCTTGTCGTCGTCTTCTGACAAACGAAGAAACGGTTGATGAAGCATCACGCATTGATCTATAGATGGTCCGAGTCCCACCTGCAATGAGAATGATCAAGTACACAAAGTTGGCGACATACATCCATAGCCAAACCAGCAATACGAATTTGACGACAAACATTAATGTATCGATAAAATAGAATAACAGATTTAAACGCCAGGAGAACAGCAAGTCGGGGACCACAAGTCAAAATGGAGTCTGATCTTACCAACATTGTCATGTTCATTGGTACCCAGGGTCAGTCTCTCAAGTACGCCCTTCCAACAGGAACAGCAATGGCAGTCGAATCCATCTTTGACTATACTCGCGCAATGCTTCAAGGATACGCTGATGAAGACCTTGCCCAACATACTTGTCTTGTGAACGACATTTGCGGCATCCTCAAGGAAATCGTCAAAGAATACCATCCAATCGACACGTTGGGTATCACCGACTATGTCAACAACCTTCAGGAGCGTGTCTTCTCCATCCGATGCAAGCGCCTCGACCCCTTCATTTCCAAGTGCATCGACACGTTTGTTGGACAGGTCAATGAGTCCATCGAGGACCTTGAATCCAAGTCGTACAATGAGCTGTTCAAGTCTGCAATTGATGTGTACCAGACCATTGAGGTGATCAAACATCACGTTCATTCAAAGGTTCCCGAGGAGTATGTGGAATACGTGTGTTCTGAACTCGAGCCATTCTTTTTCGATGGGTTTCATGACGTCCAAGACAGCATTTTTGGGTTGCTCCAGCATCCAGACTACTACATGCCAATTGAAATGCTCAAGTACAAGTTCCTCAACATCATCGAGAGCCTCGAGGAACCCAGCGAGTCGCTCGAGTATATTTGATTTTGGTCTTATATAAATGTCATTGCAAGACCACATTGATAAATTGGAAAACGAGCAGTGTTCGATGAGCATGTACGCCAATCTCCTCGAGAAAAGAACAGCCCTTGAGGAACAAGCTTCCAGTGCCCTTGACGAACTCGTTGTCTGGGAATCGTACTATGAAGACTTACTGAAGAGAATTAGCCTGCCGCTCATGGTATACACATTGCCAAAATGCGAAAATATCAACAGCCCTCTATCATTGCGACAGCACATCCAGGCTTTGGAACAGCGCATTCGAGTGTGGACTGGTCGCATTAGCCAGTTTCGACGCATCTACAATCTTGAGCAACAGCGCCAAGGTCTTGTCAATAAGATCAAGAAGCATGGTGGTTCAATCAAAGAATAATTTTCTCTTTTGACTGTAAATGGCAAGGAGACGTGCAGATTGTCCAAGCGGGAAGGAGCGAAACTCGAAAGGGCGGTGTGTGAAATCATGTACTCGAACCCAAACACGAAACCCGCGGTCGGGTCGTTGTCGCAAAGACTGCGACCGCAACAGAGCAGGTCGTTGTCGCAAGCCCTGCAAACCAGGGAAGACACGTCACCCCGAAACTGGGAATTGCCGCAAAGACCCAAGCGCCAGGCGAACAGGTACGCGGTCACGACCAAGAACTGTCCCTGCCCCGACATCAATTCCCACGCGCAGAGCAATTCACTGGTTCCAGGACGAGGATACACTGTTGAAGAAGGTTGTTCGTGCGCGCAAAGTGACTGACAATGAAAAGAAAACGTTGCTGTCCAGGTACAGGCCATCGCGTTACCGCGGCGAAACCAAAGAACATGCCGCCAAACTAACTGCATTCATAAACAAACTTCCATTGACTCAATAACATCACGACAATGGAATGAGAGAGGACTCGATACTGATATTGTTCGAGTACACGGGGTCGCCAGGAACATCGCCGTACTGGTTTGTCGCGCACATCATCGTGGTCGACAAAATACTTGGCGCATACTTGTCAATGATGGGAAGACAGAGACCAAAGAAGACGTGGACGCCCACGAGAGGTTCTTCGTCGCTGTCTGGATCAAACTCCAACACGTCATAAATCTTTTCCGCGACCGTGTCAAATGAATCTTGGTCGGAGACCAAAATGGCAACCAGAAACAATACAGAGAACACTCGACGGGCATTGCTGATAATCGAGTATTTTTTCGCCGAGACCCCGTAATATTTCATCAAGTCAACGAGAAACCGCTGGCAATATGATGGTGATTTGGCGGATGCGGCGTCAAAGACGGGGACTTGGCGACCTGTCGAATAGAGCATGTCAATGTTGACGGGTCCCTTGGACCATGCCTTGGACTGTGTCTTGGACCGTGTCTTGGACTTTGGCATTGTTGTTTGGTCCAAAAACGTTGGTGCAGTGCACAATACATATATTCGGAATGCGTATCGCTATGCAACAACAGTGTAGACCACGGGCGCATTACCCTTTCTTGTGCGCTTGTACTTTTCCGGGTATGCTCGATGAAGTTTGAGAAGGTGGCACCCAACAGTCACAACAGGTTCGTTGTTGGTGCATCGGTCACGAAACCCGGACTTGATCATGGCGTCGTAGAGTTGTTGGATCGTAAAACTTGCTCCAGGCCTCGAGTCCAGGAACGAAACAATGTCGCGCTGGACGGTCGTGATGTGCCCGCTCTTCTTGGTCATTCGCATGGTATATGTAAATACGCCGTTTGAGGTGCGGCGCCTCTCAAATTCTCCATTGGGGTCTCGGTATAGTTTGCTAAGGCACGCGCGAATACTTCTGATCGGGTCCTTGGTGAATGCGTGGTCACGGTATCCAGCCGCCAGCATGGCTTTATGTAGTTCTTCTGGCGTGAAAAACTGCGTGCGTCGGTCATAGAGGAAATCGACAATGTCGCGCTGGACAGTCGTGAAGCGCTGCTTTTGGGGAATGGCGGGCATTGTGGTGGTATGGTGAGTTTGAAGCTGGCGGTCATCGTATATATACCGGTCCACGGCCAAGCGCTAATTGCATCATATGTGCAATTTAAACCCAGGAGACGTTGTGAGAGCATGGCTGAAATCGACGAGTACCTTGCTGACCTCACGTCTCGAAACGTTGACCTCCGGGACCAGCTTCGCAATGTGCAGAAACTGAGTGGCTTGGAAGAAGGCCATGTCAGCATGGTCGCTGACTTGCGGCGTGCGGAAGAAAAGCACGCGTGGATTCTTGAGCGCTTCAAACTCAAACCGCTCGAGGACGTGTTTCCGCCAATCGCAAGCGAAACATCAAACGTGGAAGAACTGAGGACCCGGATCGTCAACCTCGAGACGTTCAATGCCGCAGCATACGCGCGGATCGAAGTTTTGGAAGGAATTGCCGCCGCTTTGCGAACAAACTTGAACTTGACTTCAAACCTTGAGCTCGAATGGTTGAAGATTCAAACGTTGGCGCAAAGCGACTTCCACGCCAACAGTTCTCAAGGAGACGAGACGGAAAAGAACGAAGTTCCAAAAGCACGTCTCAAGTGGTACAGGCGTTCGTTCATGACCCGCTTGGCAAACCAAGGAAACCAAGGAAAACAAGGAAACCAAGGAAACCACGAAAGCACGTGACGTGCATTCTCGATACAAGACTGGAGTATAAAGGTCACCGCCCCCCCCCTCCACTTCTCAGACCATCACTCAAGTTGCTCGTCACTCAAGCCCATCCATCAACATGCCTCGCTGCCAGCACCTCGGTTGTCTCGTCCGCAACGCAGTCTACGGGCCAGCAGGTGGTCACAAGCTCTTTTGCCGCAAGCATATGCTTCCTGGTCACGTATGCCTCGACATGTCCAAGACGTGTAAGCACCCCGATTGCCACAACATTGGCCACTACGATTTTCCGTGCGGAAAACGGAGCGGGCCATTCTGCCGTGACCATCGACTCTTCAAGATGGTTGCCGTCAAGAAATTCGACTACTGCTCGGACCCGGAGTGTCTCAACCTCGCAACGCACGGTTTTGCCAAGGAGGGTATCATGGTGTTTTGCGCCGACCACGCCGTTGACAACATGAAAGAATTGACAAGGCCAGACTGCGAGACCGAGGGCTGCTGCTCTGAAGCAACATTCGATTACCCGTGGCGCACAGTTGCCCGTCGGTGCTCCAAGCACAAGCTCAAGGCGATGATTGACGTGTGTCGACCCAAGTGCATTGACGAGGGGTGCTTTGTAAGAGCCATGTACAATTTCGAAACCGATGCAGCACCCGTCTACTGTCGCATCCACAAGGGCCCAAACATGCACAAGACCAGCAAAAAGAAGTGCGGGAAACAGTCGTGTCGCCGCAACTCGTCGTGCAGGACAGTGCATCGTATGATTCGCAGTCGGAATATTGGCGTCGTTGTTTAAATTTGAATCATGATGTGTTTCATTCATAAGTCAGTAGCAGAATTCAAGCAATATGGACATTGCTTGAATTGTTCACCCCCGGCGGGAATCGAACCCGCGTAGTTTGGTTAGAAGCCAAATATGTTATCCGTTACATCACGGGGGCCACGACATCGACAGGACTCGAACCTGTGCGCCCATAGGGCAATTCCTTAGCAGGGAACCGTATTGACCACTCTACCACGATGTCTGAGCGAGTACGACTTTCATCGTACTCAATGTTATCCAAGAATATAAATTTTGGCAAGTGCGTTTGACGCACTGGATTCCCTGACATTGTTTCAACAGCCAGTTTTGTTCTTCAACTCCTCGAAAAATATTCTCGAGTAAGAATAAAGATGACCTTTCAAAGTTTCACGCATTTGCCCAAGGATGCAACACAGCGTCAAGTGATTGTTGAACAAAAGAAGAAACGCCGCCGCACAAAGCGAACTCTCCGCGTCCGAACTTCTGGTGGTCCAGTTCTCCGGAAAAAGTCGGTGAAACGTTACCGCAAAACGTCAAAACGTCGGTCAAAGCGCAAGTCAATGCGCAAGTGATTTATTCCAGTATAATATAATGTTTCGAATGAACAGCTTTCTGTACGAACACATTTTGGTCTTGTCGATAACACGTCCATGCTCACCCTACCATCGACGTCGCATCTACAAACTTGCTCGCGCGTGGAACTTGCAGTATGTTCTCAAACACGTTGTTCCACTGCTTAGTGAGCTATCCATGGATATACTGTCTTGGAATGGCGATATATCCATGCTGCAATGGTGGATAGACTCTGGTCTGCGTCCCGAGTATGATGAAAGCGCATTGTTTCTTGCATCCATTTACGGCCGTGTCGACGTTCTTGATTGGTGGGTGCATAGTGGACTCGAACTCAAGTACTCGTCTCGCTGCATGGACTGGTCTTCGTTTTCTGGAAGAATTGAAAGCCTGGACTGGTGGCTTCAGAGTGGACTTGAACTCAAGTACACTGAAGAGGCGATTGTATACGCATCCGAAAACGGCCACATCCATGTTCTCGAATGGTGGGTCAAGAGTAATTTGCCGCTCAAATACACTCATAATGCGCTTGACCTGGCTTCACTGAACGGTCGGATAAATGTTCTTGACTGGTGGATCAAGTCCGGTCTGGAGCTTCGATACACGTCAAACGCACTGCGAAACGCATCGATTCAGCGGCACATCAATGTTCTTGAATGGTGGAAAACATCAGGTCTCCGACTCGATTGCAACCAATTCACAATTCATGGTTTACCAGCCGGTCAGTATTCTGATGTCAGGAACTGGTGGAATGATTCTGGCTTGATTTCTTAAGTTTAGTCGGTGCCGACACCAGTGCTTGTGGTTTGGACTGTTTGGATTGCTTCGTCCTTGTACATTTTTGTTTTTGGGCGAAGGGCATTTGCCAGTTGCTGTGCCACCGACCTCCGTCTGGAGGCCTGTCCGTCAAACCCAAGGTATGGATTGAAGGTGGGTGGTCCAAAAGGCACAAAAATGGTTTCACTTGTTTCGCGTGCATACTTTCTCCGAGATGACCGCCGCTTCTTGGACGTTCTCCGCTTGGTGCGACGCCGGGTCTTTCTGCGGACCGACCGAACAGAACGAGAAGCCCGAGATGACTGCATGGACCTGACAGACCGAGACGAGCGCGACGAAGTGCGTCTGCGACTTTGCACACTACTGCCTGACTTTGAGCTTGACCGTCTTGAACCTTTTGAAACTTTCATTTAAAGTATGGGAACAAAAAGTTTTTCTGGCCTGATATGAATTTGTCACATCGATGATACTGCACGACACAAGTACAGTGCAAGTGCACTTTTCAATCATCAAAATGGACCGTGTCTTGTCTCTTGCAGCCCGCCCCACGTCGTTTGGCGACATTGTTGGTCAAACCAAACTGGTTGATGCACTTCGGCAGCAAGTTTTGTCAGGCCGTATTCCCCACTTCTTCCTGCTGTACGGTAATGTCGGGTCCGGGAAAACGACCCTGGCACGGCTCATTGCGTACATGTTGAATCAGCCCAATCGGATGGAATTCATGGAGACAGGAATCATTGACTGGGCCAAGTACCGAAAGCTTGATATTCGCGAGATGAATGCTGCCAACACGAATGGCGTCGACGACATGCGCCAGGTTATCCAGCAACTCAAGTACAAGCCGTTTGATCCGTCCATTGCCAAAATCATCATTCTGGACGAAGCCCATCAACTCACTGCAGCCGCCCAGAACTGTCTCATCACTGAGACAGAGGACGTGCCAGACCACGTCTACTTTATTTTTTGCACATCGCAGGAAAGCAAAATCATCAAAGCACTGGAGCGCCGAGCTTACATTCTTCGTCCAAAGCATATGACCGAGGATGATATTTGCGAGTTGGTTGATCGTGCTGCTAAGATGGTGGGGTTCGCGCAAGATACTGACAAGCTCGTCGAGTGTCTCGTGGAATCTCACGTGACGAGCCCAGGACTCGTTCTCCAAGCAGTCGAAAAGTTTTTCAATGGCTGTACTGCCCAAGAGAGTGTTTACCACCGTGACGACGGGCAGATTTGCGCCATGACACTTTGCAAGCATCTTGTGCGTGGCAATTGGAAAGGCGCCTCTGTACTCATCAAGAAAATGACCAAAAGCGACATTGTGTACGTCCGCAATATCGTATTGGGGTACCTCAAGTCGATTCTTCTCAGCGTGGATGGGCAGCGCGCATCCAACACAGCTGAAGCCATCAAGCAGTTGCATGCTTCGCCCATGGACGACCTTCCTGCACACACAGCGGCCTTGTTCGTTGTTTGCTCGCTTATGAAGAATTAGTTGCAGACGTGGATATTTTGTGCCCATAATATAAATGCAGCGTCGCAGGACTTTCCATAAACGTCGAACAAGATTGTCACGCAAACGTACTAAACACCCGTCACACAAACGTCGTTCCAGAAGCAGGACCAACATTGTCATCTTGCCGCTTGGTCCTCATGCAAAAGTCCACAAATCAATATCAAACTTGGGTCAACATGTTCCATCGAACCCCTCAGCCCAAATACTGAAACCACAGTCAATAATTTCAGTTCCTTCAGTTCCTCCAGTTCCTCTGGTGTCTCCAGCCCCTGAAGCGCCAGCAACTGTTCCAAAAGTAATTTCACCATCTGGCAACAAGGAAAGATTGAGAATTCACATCCCAGAACCGTCAACTCCAAGTCGTGAAAGTACACCCCAATCGAAAACGCAAGGTGAACTTTCATCGTACCCTGTCTTGAATACTGTTTGGGCAATGCAAGAAAATCCCAACAATCAGTACAACCAAACCATTTTCAAGTTCTTTGTGCCCAAGGGCAACTATCCTGTAACCAGGGGCACAATTTCCACGATCCTGCCACTATGGCAGGAATGGAGGCATGTTCGCAAAATGTTCACGACCCCCATCGTTGAAACGATGACGACCATGGGGTTTGATACTGTTCTGGCACTCAAGCTTGATAACTTGTACGAGGTATTTGCGTTTGGAATCAAGGCAAAAATTGCAATGCATGACAGGCGCAACGAAATACGTCATTCGGGATACTCTCTTGTGGAATCCATCATTCGCCTTGTCACAGAACATATTGCACACCACAATGTTTCAATCAATGAAGATTCGTTGGCTGGGTATATTTTCTTCCGACTTGACGCGTTGTTCCTCAACTCTTATCCTGACAATCTTGCTCGCCTTGTGAAACTGTTTATCCGAATTTATGGAGACCATGCTATTCCAAACCCCCATTCCAATCTCTACTGGATTTTGAAACAGCAACGGCCAATGTTTGACCCTGTAGTAGAGTATATCAAAATTCTCACTGACATTTATGGCATCGCAATGGAAAAGACACGCGGACCTCGTGCAACGTCGCAAAACTCTGACAGGAAAGAGACAGCACGTCAACTTTTCCAAGCAGGTTTTGATGGAAACGATGTCAAAGCTGTGCTTTCCATATTTCATAAAATATTAAGGCAGAATGGCAATTGCTTGGAATTGATTGGTGACGTGGGTGAGTACCTTGATGCATTCAGCGACTTTGCGCAGACGGTAACCCTGTTTGAAGAATCAAATGCCCAGCTTTTGTTCCCGCACATTGAAGAGTTTCAACTTGCACCTGGCGAAGCAGAGTTATTGGACATTGACGTCAATTTGTTCCTTTGGGCAGTAGTTACCATGGCACTTTCAGGGGAACCTGATTCAGACAATATTGTCCAAGAGCTGTTCCAGGGATACTTTGTCAATGGGTTCAGGACTGCCAATGAAAAAGCCCTCGCGTTTCTGAACAGAAACCCCAGTCAATGTTATGTGCACAGAGTCCGTGTCCTTGTGATGTCACTATACGCTCACGTGTACAACCTGCTTCGTTCTCAATTAAACAGGGAAATAAATGAAAAGGTGTTTCAAACTGAAATGCACAAGGTCACCGAAATGCTCACGGATGTTATCCAGAAGGCCATGAAAGATAATCCACGCATTGCCGCTAACAAGAAGATTTCAAGTGCAGGGCTATACTTTACTGAAATCAGCAAGTATTACCAATCCCCCACAATGCTGGCAAACCAAGTTCGGAGAGATTTAATGGAACCCGAGCTCATTGCCTTTGTCATGGACCAATTGATCCGACATAGCATCCCTAAGAACTGGCCGATCCTTTTTGACCCAAGCATGCCTGAAGACGAGCTATCGAGTAAAATGGAAAAGCTTGCCGAAGAAGCAGACCTGTATTTTGAGTCCATGTTCCAGAGTATTTGAACATTTGCAACACGAAACTTGGATATTACAAAACTCTACCGTTCAAGTGTGTCTTGGCAAAGCACTGGGAAACAACATGACTGTTGCGCCCACAACGCACGCAAATTCGCTCGACATCATCATCGCCGATTGTCTCGGAATCGGTCATGTGCACGTTCTCTGGCAGGTACACTTTGACTTTCTCCTGTTTCTTGACCAGCTCGAGAATACTTTCGTCCTCGGAATCGGTTTCGTCGATTTCATTGACCTGGTCGTCTTCGTCGATATCGTCATCCCACTTGCTGTTGAAGCAGCCCACGAAATGCTTTGCAGCGAAGTTATCACTGGTCTCTTCGACGCTCACACAATTCTCAAAGTCTGACTCGGTGTTCGACTCGGTGTCCGACTCGGTGTCCGACCCGGTGTCAGTATCCGAATCGTCGATGTAGTTGCA